AAAAAATTTCTCTACAAAAAAGCAGAGACAACACTGTTAAGACTATACACTCGAAATTTAAACTTGGCTGTAAGAAACGAGAAGAAAATATTTTTAAATGCACCCGTCTAGTCTGGAAACCTTCTGACCGTAAAGTTTAAAAATTAAAAAAATCACCCTCGCCAACCGTAACAACGAATAAGAAACGAGAGAAAAATCCATAAACGCCCGCGTTGCGCAAACAAAGAGCTAGCACCCATGAATCGTCATCGCGCCAGATTAGCCGCTCGCGCCTCGTCCATCAACGTCGCTTCACCAGTACTCACTCGCAAACGTATATATACCATAAGTACACACATATATATCCGAACTTGCGAAACGCCGACGGCTCTTCCGCTCCAGACACCCCTGCCGATCTCTTTTTTTTCCCCCTTTTCTTGAATTTATACGTTCGGATCCGCGCTTAACTGCCGCGCGCGTAAGTCTCCGGTATCGAAGCCAACGCTTTACCGGTTCGACACGGCCCGGGAGTCTCTCGTTTACGCAAACGCGGCGTTACCGATAAAACAACGCGCGCTAGAGACTCTCTCTCCCTCTTATCTAGCTCTGAGACCGAACGAGTGGCGTGGTGGACCCTCCGTTTGTGTGGCGTATAAATCTTTGTGATAAAAATGCGTCATTTTTTCCTATTTTTTATGGTCAGTGGTGCTTTTACTTGGGGAATCAAAACACAGAGAGAAGTTGCAATGAAAGAAAACTGTTGTTTATTTTGTAGACAATAGCTTGTATAGTGATTGAAAAGCAATGCATTACGATGATTTTTTTCTTTACTACTTTCACTTGCTCCTCAGTCATCATAATTAATATTAAGAAATAAACTTGGTATTGTGGAGCATGACTATTTATTGACTTTTCATTTACATTAAATCAATATTTCGCTGTTTTGCTGACAGCCTCTTCAAAATTAAAAATTATGTAGGTGCCAAGACAACACGTTACATGGACACCAATGGCGCCAATAATTTCATCTTCATATTGCAACAACTTAACTTAGTTTAAAAAAAAGTCATGTTCTTAAAAATTTAATAATATAATAGTCAAAAAAAATTTTTAAAGACTTTTAAATGTCAGCGCCGTTTGAGTATGACTTTTTAAGAAAAAATTTTTTTATAACTGTTATATAATTGAATTTTTAACAGCAGAATAGGGAAATATTGATTTAATGTAAATCAAAAGTCAATAAATAGTCATGCTCCATAATACCAAGTTTATTTCTTAATATTAATTAAGTCCTGATTTACTGCGTCTGGGTGGGATTTTTTTTTTAAAAAAAAGGTGTTTCTAACCTCAAAATTATAATATTGACGTCTGAGTATATTAATTTGTTTGGATCAACAAAACGTGTCTTGTGCATAATGTAAGGTTTTTTCAAACCCCTATTTGGTTCGATTCCGGTTATGCACTATGTATAGATATACTTTTTCCCAAAAACCTACCTATACATAGCAGAACCAAGCAGAACCTGGTTTTCTCATTTTTTGTAGAAAAAAGTATATCTATATATAGTACAGAACTGAACCCAACCAAAGGGGGGTTTGAACAAACCTATAACATCGTTTCGGAATTAGAAGATGTAATAACATTTTGCGCCCTGTATTATTGATTAGAGATAGATAATTTAAAAGAAGTACTGCGTTTAGCAGGTGCTGTTATTTAAAATTAAAACAAAAATATTTTAAAATCTACCTTGAAAACTTGCTGTAAATTGACTAGACTTTTATTCTTTGATAACTCTATCCTGATACTTGACTTTTTTAGCTCTGTGGGGGTTATTTTGCCCAATAAAGGTATACATGTGATTTCTAATCGGTAATCAGAAAAGAGTAATTAAAAAAAAGCAAACTCTCGTACAAGTGTATGGAGTACCAAGGACTCAAAGTCGAAAAAGAGAGAGAGAGAGAGAGACAGAGAAAAAAGAAGTTAGTGGAAAAACGAAATTACGTTCCAGGACCTTTGTTTTGATTGCCGCTATACGACAGCGGATGGGCTGCTGCAGGCATTTTAAGTGGGTTTCACTTATCACGGCTCGTACTTATTCGTAAGCCACTCGAGTGTATTTAGGATTCAAATTGGTATTCGATTATTCAAAATTCGTTCTTGAAGAATCTGGAACGTGCTGGTGGGTTTAAATGGGGTTATTATTTTTTTTTTTTTGTTACGCTGCTCAACATGCACATTGGTCTTATCGCGTTGGTTTTAATAAGCTTTGTATCTGGAAAAAGAAGTATGTTGAATATTTTTGAAAATAATACGTTGTCACGTATTAAAAAGAATAATTATTCGTACGTGATTGGATAAAGCTGAGATGACGTTCTTATAATTCAAATGACATTCCTGGGAATCCTGGGTTGAAACAATAAATGGTTTGTGAATCATTACTGCAATCATTCTTTGTTTTTACAAAATAAAATTTCATTCAATTATCCTTGATTTGGACAAAAAGTGAAATGTAAAGCATAGCTGACAGTAATAACGTATGAGTTAAGTATGTCACACAGTATTTTATTAGTCACACAAAAATGGATGTACTACAAAGTGGAAAAAATTTAATGATCAAACAGTCAATACTATTAGTAAATTTAAGAACTACTTATTTAAGTATATATCATTAGAAAAAATTATTGAGTACGCGAAGCGCACCTGATCTGTCGAGTAGTATAAAAAAATGTAACACTTTGTTTGGAAAAAATGTCTGTATGTCTGAGTATGTTTTCGTAATTTTTCATATTTCACGATCTTGTTAACCGATGTTAATGATAGACGCTTATTTTTTAGTTTGATTTTCATTTTTTTATTTTCAAAGATTTTCATAATGCTTTTTGGAGTTATAACAAAGATTTGGCTTTAGGTCCAATGAATTGTTTCAAAAACGCTTTCTTTGATTTTAAAATAGTTTTAATTGGTTCAGATGTTTTTAACGAGTAATTAAAAATATCTTAATAAATTTTCTTTAGATTTGACGTCATAATGAGAATTTTTTTCGTCTAAAACTACTGTCGATAACTTTTTGAAAAAACTAATGACTGTCAAATAAAAACTTTTTGCACCGTATCTATATTGACTTAGAAATCCAAATAAAAATAAATGGTTATGTGAGCGTGATAAATAAATGTTCTTGTAAATTTATCAATGGCAATTTTTTTATACAAAAGCTTAAAAAAAATACCGTTTTTTTCACGTCCTCATAAATAGACGTACCAAAAAAAAATACACGTACCAAAAATGGACAGCGGTTACTTTCCAACGTAACTATTATCTGCTACTCAAAATCGACAGTAAAAACACAGAACAAACGTCGAAAACCATAAGCTTCGAAACTACTTCGCGCGCGATATACTACATTTCAAACCGGCTTCGATTTTTTTTACATCAAAAATATTTTTCTTGTGTGCAAAAATGGAAGTAAGTACAAAAGTTTTCAACTTTACTTCAAATACATTTATAGTCCAGTATTATTATAGAAACCCATATCAGTGCTAAGTTTACAAATATGTTATTTATTTCTACAGTGTTCATACTGCTGAATAAAACAGACATAATGAACTTCTGAGAATTTAAATAAATGTCTGGTTTTACGAAACAATCTTAAAAAGATTCTCTCCTTATCACGAAAAAATAATGTCAAAATATCAATAAAATCTTGAAGGTAACACAAGGGCATTCAGTATACATTTTTATCAACTAATGATTTTATAGCTACTTTTACGGAAAATAATGAGAAGAGGCATAGAGTTGGTACTTTGAAAAATTATTTGAGGCTAAGTTTATCATAATTAATTGAGAGTTGAGGCAGAGAAATTGCAACGCGCGATCGTAAAATAGTACCAAAGTGGTTGTAGCCGGAGATGCAGTTTTGACGATAACGCGTTGCAACTTTTCTGCCTCAATTCTCAATTGATTAGGATAAACTTAGACTCAAATGATTTTTCAAAGTACCACAGCGTCGAGCTTTTACGTGAGTATGAGTTTTTTAAATATTTTTTCCAGACGTACTTTCGAAAAAAAAACTCATTTAATTCCAAAATTCATCATAGGCTCTTGCAGGGATCAGTAATTAAGTTGCATTCGAATTACCATTCCAATAAATCAAAACTTTTTAAAAGCAGTTCTCCTAGTGAAAAATAAGCCAATCAGAAATAATTTGTCTATTAAAACAGAATAAGCAAAGTAAAAAAATCTTCAAAAAAGTTACATGTAATAAAATTTTATTAGTAACTCCCCTAAGAACTTGTGTTGAATCGTGGAATTTAATGATTTATTTTCTTGAAAATACGTCCAGAAAAACATGTTGAAAAAATTCACACGCACGTGTACTTAATTTTTCTTTTCAGCGTCACCTAACTTTTTTTTTATTTTCTGCCGGGACCTCTTTAACCCCGTAGTCATCAAATCACGAAACTAACATAAATCGCACTTAAAAATTTGGGGAGAAGAAAAAAAAAATCAAGAAGACCCCAGCATTTGCTCCCCGATAATACTTTAATTAACCATAAAAGGAAGAAAAAAAACTGCAACGGTAAAAATTTCAGGATCGCGTAAAAAATCTGCGGCTAGCTCATCGCCCGCAACGAGATCGGCAACCCACTTTTCAGGGCACACAGGCAGTCCACTCAAAAGATTAGGACCGCTTATCGCGCCGGCGGGAGGAAGTCGGCTTCCTTCGATGCAGAAAGTCTCTCCAACCGCGATGCGCGAGCCAGCCAAGTTCAGTGTCCACCGCGAGCTTAATTTCCTTGCCGATTTTATCAGCGCGTCGGGTATTATTGGCACCAATCGCCCTTTTTCAAATCACTGTGCGAACGGATTCAACGCCCATCTCGATAATATTCTTCAAACTTATGCTATAATGTTAATGTCGAATAAATGACACACGCGCTGTGTAATCGAAATATATACATACCACTTGACGAAGGAGGTTTGAAGGATGGGAATTTGGTTTCAGTGACAGCATCCCGTGGAAACGAAGGCCATGGCATGGCGTTGGGTATTCTGGCTGGTGCTCGTGAGGCTGGCGGTGTGCTCGGTCGCTGGCGAGTTTTTTGTCATCTCTGGGCCTACGTCGGAAGTGAGGGAAAACGACATAAGCACGAACAACCGCGTGGGACAGGGGGTGAAAACCATGTACTGCGTCACGGACGAGCTGAGCGGCGCTCTGACTTGGAACACGAATCTCGAGTGGAAAAAGAGTGAATTCAAGAATTTTCACAAAGTTTCCAAGCCGGAAGGTAAAGTGACGCTCATATTATTGCGTTGGTACACATCTCTCGCAACGAAAAAAAAATCTGTTGAAATTCAGAATATGTTTTCTCTTTCTCTCTGCATCTTCTTCATACATCATCATTGATTATCACTATGGACATTTTTAATAACTTCTATATATTACTTAAATAAATTCGTACCAATATTAATATCAATCTCTCTCTTTCTACTTCTCTTGATAAACTTGATACTTTGGCCCTCACGATTTCCTGGGAATGTGAAACTGTAAGAGTGATTCCTGTAATTACTAGTGCACATAGAATAATTAAAACTTCATTACATAAAGAACTAATACTGTTCCTTCAATTTTGAATCTCGATTAGTCACAGATTAAACAATTCCATATTTATGGGTGGATTTGGGACTTGTTATTTCAATTATCTTGTGATGCATATGAACCAATGGTCACATTTGTGGGTCAAATAATATACATGTATATGTTTCTCCATAATTACTCTTGCTTATTAACTGACGAACTCACTGTCAGAAATATCGTACTTTCAAATGTGCAAAGAAAACTTACAAAATAGCACCCAATGGTAGATTGATGTTTCTTTGTTTTGGGCTTCAGTATTTAGAAACAAGAGCCTCGTGTATCCAGCCGATGACAGTCTGGATTGCTGGATGAACAATACCCACAAGTGCTCAACTGCCTGGACAAGGGACAAAAATTGGAAGTACGTGACGAGCATCACGAACCCGATGGCACCTTTGTTCGATAAACGATTAGAAGGCAAGTTCGGCCCATACGAGTCTTTTGATTTGGACTCCAAAATGATGACAGTGGTTGTTATTTTTCTCACAGATTTGAAGGAATTAAAAATGACAGACAGGTTCGAGTTTGTCATTCACGTCCCCATCGAGGGAAGTCAAGCTGTATCGATTCGTGGTGACGTTAAAGTCGAATTTAGGTTCTGCAACCAAGACAATATACATAGTTACTGCGTTAGTATTATTCTCGAAAGTCAGAAAAATACTCCATCTCGAATCATCAAATGCAGAAATAACAACTGTGACACTATTGGGTCTTTTGGTCGAGTAAGTGAACGTTTTTTCCACTTCGTCATTTAGTTTGTGATGCATTGATTGGTGATTTTAGTCAGTATCCTTATCGCCCACGGAATGGAACACATTTGTGATTAAATGGACCTTTGGATCGGAGTTGTCCTTATCCATATACGATTCAGTCGGTAGCGTTTTCGATGACTTGAAATTCAACCAGACCAACGATTTCGTTAGTTCCCACAAATTAGCAACTGGCGAGGATGCTTACTTCTTTTTTGTAAGGGGTGCAGATTCGATGCTCATGAAATTTCACACGTGTAAGTACATAAGTATTGCAAACGAACATCGAACTTAAACAATTTATGTTGACAATCTATACTCATTCGTTTATTTATGTACTAATCAGATGGTTATTCTCTGACAACGCGAAGTACATCGGAACTCTTGAGTCCAGAAATAACGACAAGCTCAACGGATAGGAACATTTGCATTGAAATGTCCATTAGTTTATGTAAGACGTGCATATTGACGGTTGATATTGTCGATCGGAACAACAGTAGCCGAGTAATTGACATTGGAAAAACTTTTAAGGCCGATAAAACGCAAAACAATGCTTATGACCTGCCAATGTGGAAAAACGTTCGAATCAGTAAAACTTTATCAGAAAGTTCGCAACAACTGATCAAGTTGAAGATAAAAACCTTGTCCACGCCGAGCAACAGTACAGATCGTTTTTGGGCTATTTCAAACGTTCGCCGCTGCAATGCTGGTAGGTAATTATATACTTCTTTGATTGTAAATACCTATTCAAATGAAAATTTACCACATTGAAGGTGCCGTAAAAGTTATAAAAATCAAGGCTTATCAGGATTTCGAATCAGACTACTTTTGGCCAAGTATAACATGTCAGAAAATTTCGATCGATGGTACCTCGTCAATCATCGATTCCACTGATTTTGAACGTACAACTCAAAAAACGGGTTTGTCTAATTATTTTATGAATATGGTCACCTACAACAGGCCAGACCACAAAGTTTCATTTGTAAGTAAGATTTCCATGTGTCTAAAATTATGAGTTACCTTTCACAGGAAGACAGCGCTGCGAAGAACACAATATTGGTCCCTCGTGCTTGGTCAGCTGTTCCAAATTGTTTCCAAAGTACAAAGATTGCAGTAAGCTCTTGGATTGCGACAAAAATGGATGCTCTTGCGCTTCTGGCTTCAAATGGCCTACATGTGAGCGTAAGTTGTCTCACATTGTCCAGAAATAAATTCCAAACGCGTGAAAATGATAATTTACAATATTCCTATCGTTGATTGGTCAGGCTGTCCAGATTCAACTTATGGCTTTGAGTGCGAAAAATGTGGGAACTGCGCCCACCGCAGTTGTAGTTTCGCCACAGGAAAATGCAGGGATGGTTGCGAAAACCCCGACGACAGGATATTTCTGCCACCTTATTGTAAAACTGGTAATGATCGATAAATGAAACGTGACAAAGAAATTTTATGGTGATTAAAGCGATTTATTGTTTTTAACATGTTTTTTAGGTGTTGGACTACCACCCGCACCAAAAGTCGAACTAATAAATTCAACCTGCGTCCGAGTATTTCTGAAAGTCGAAAAGAAGTACGGTGTGGTACCAATAAAAGTTAACTTCGAAATCTGGGTAAGTGAAACAGTAAACGACTTCAATGTCAATATCTAATTGTTCACTAGTTAATTAACTTCCCAAGCGGGAAATTTTTTTTGTAATTAAGTAACGAAAGAAAAATAATAACTAATAACAATATTTTATATTCGAATTACCATTCCAATAAATCAAAACTTTTTAAAAGCAGTTCTCCTAGTGAAAAATAAGCCAATCAGAAATAATTTGTCTATTAAAACAGAATAAGCAAAGTAAAAAAATCTTCAAAAAAGTTACATGTAATAAAATTTTATTAGTAACTCCCCTAAGAACTTGTGTTGAATCGTGGAATTTAATGATTTATTTTCTTGAAAATACGTCCAGAAAAACATGTTGAAAAAATTCACACGCACGTGTACTTAATTTTTCTTTTCAGCGTCACCTANTTGTTCTCGCGAATAAAAAAAGTAATAACTAATAATAAGGATTCAAAAGTTTTAATACTAACTTGTGATGGACAATTGTGAATAATAAGTCTTATTACTTGTTTCAAATCTAGGCATTAAAAACTGTTACTACTTTTTCGCTTTCTACTAATTTTTAAGAATAGTACATTACCAATTTATCGAATAAAATTATTTCCGCTTGGGTTAATTTAGGCGAATTCAACAAAGCCAGCCTTTACAAGCGAACCCACGTGGGGTAATGTAACCACTGCCAGTATTGATACATTCTTCGAACGCCTGACACCTGGCACGCACTACCGAGTTAGAGGTGTTTTTCAAGTTGAGAACAAAGCTATGCGTGGCGAATGGACAAATCTTACAACATCCTGCATAGGTCTGTTACTTCGAGTTAAATGACATACAAAAAAAATGTGCCAATGATCATACAATCAGTCGTATTTTAACAGAATCCATCGCACTGAATTTTGTCGTGTCCAGCGATAAAACCACCATAACTATCGATAACCGGGTCGACGTCCACATTAACGATTCATGCCCTTACACGTGGTATCGCGTTCAGTTGATCAACGTTGACGAGACAAAAGTATTATTCAACGACTCGACTTTTTTTCCAAAAGTATTTACTGATTTGGAATATTTTACTACGTACAACATTATCATATCGTCAGGCAAAGAGATCGCCAACAAGCAAATCCGCACCTCAGAAGGAGGTACGAATCTAGCAATGTTAAACCATCTATTGTTGATTTATGAAGCAAACATTTAATGCGACTTCTTGCAGCACCTGCCAGTGTAAGAGATTTAAAAATTTCATCTGAATCCGAGAACAAGATTCATGTCAGTTGGAAGCCTCCATTGAAACCCAACGGCATAATTGTTAACTACACGGTGGAAATTGAAGTTGGTCATGCAAAATATTTTTTAAAAACAATATAGTAAAGTATAAATTGTAATCCAAGTTTAATTTCTAGCCGATAAAGTCATATGGTTGCAGTGATGACGAAGCTCTTAACGAAGCTATTCGAACGCAAACAATACCAAATACTCATGTTGATGAATTCAGTCACACGATTCATGGACTGAGGCCATACAAAAAATATCAAGTCACCATTTACGCTTCTACGGGAAAAGAACAGGGCGAAAAAGCGATGCTCGAACATTCAACAAAGGCACTAGGTAAAGATTATATAGCATTACTAAATAGTAAGATGATACATAGAAGTACAAAGTTTGCTTCAAAATTACATTTTTTAACAGAAATACCGACCGAAGTGTACAGTAACTTGCGAGTCAATTACGTAACGAAAGATGAATCTCGTGCCGAGCTTCTCGAATGGGACTCCCCAACTGATTGCTCTACCATAACTGGGCCTATTAAAGCCAGTAAATTATACTTCAAAGATTTAAATCGCAATTTCACCGTTGAGAAGCTCCATCATTTTCCACTTCAAAAATCCATCTTTGACAGCAACAAGTTCTACGAAGTTTATTTATATGTACTGAGGTCTCCTCGAGATCAGGAAAATGAAACAGCGTACATAAGTTTAAATTTCACACTGATTGCCCGAGGTAAAGCAAAAGTCATCGAGTACTAAGTATATGAATGTCGTTAAATTCCAATCATCAATTTTCCTGTGTTTCACAAGCTCCACCACCAGTACGAAACTTCGAAGTCATTGAAGTCGACCCCTACAACAGGACTACAACTTTGAGATGGGATCCTCCCGTTCCACCTCTTCATGGAACGTTGGACCACTATTCGATAGCTTATTGCTACAAAATGTCGAATCATTGCGATACAAACAACAACACCATTGTCCTTCCAGATGCATTTTGTGGTCTTTGGAGTTTTTCTCAAAATTCACTATGTAGCACTATTTATCTGCCAGATGCAGATTATCATACAATCATGGTAAGTGGAGAAAAACTTTGGAGCGTTTAATTCTCTCTATACAGATACTGAACATCATGATTATTTTCAGATCAAAGCTCACAATGCGAATGTCACAGAAGAATCAGAACCAGTATTTGTGCCCTTAATAACAACTGAATTAGGTAAGGGTTTCATCGATTCTTTAAACGTGAATTTAGTGCTCATATCTATGTGTGTCGTTTTTGAATTTTTAATACAGTATCATTGATTATTGTTTTCAGTGCCATTACCTCCAAACAATTTGTCTGTCATAATTGATGAACCCCATTTCTCCGCAAGTGTATCTTGGACACATCCATGGATATCGGGTGGAAAAATAGTGAAATTCGATGTTGTAACGCAACTGATTGGTAGCGATTTGAGATTAAAGCCATGGAAACACAAAATTACTGAACTGAATATAGAAACATCGGGATATAATTCGATCTACTCTATGGATCTACAACTATTTCCAGCTTCGTCGTTTCTTGTTTTGGTCAGAGCTGTAACAGAAACCGGTAACTTTGGGCAAGAAGCCACGAAAAATATCAGTTTGGGATATTACGTTGATGTGCAATCAAAATGTTTAAAAGCAAAGATCAACGAGGACCTTATATATATAACAATACCGGAAACAATGTACGATGTCGAGGATAGTAAGATGGTTATAATTGTGCAAGGTCCAAAATATTGCGACGAAGATTCACATGAAAATGAAGAAGCTTATTTGTATATAGATAAACAAAGCAATTCCGATTACAAATATGCTTGGATAGCTGCTGTATTGACTGTGAGATACCATTTTCCTACAGTAGTTTTTGAATAATACAAATTTTAATGAATAATAATCATGTCTTCAGGAGCCAATTTCATATGAGAATAAGGACTTCGAGATTGGTGATGGTCAAATCAAAGGAAATTACAAAAACCATGCCTTGTGCGATAAAGAATACTATCAAGTACATTTAATACACGTTTCTGACTCGAACAAAAAAATAACAAATCGTAGTTCTAATTCAGCTAAAAATAGTTCAGATGAAAAAAATATTCTACAAAGCTTTAAAACTGGTCCACTTTACGTAGATAGTTTTTTAAAAAAGTGTGTAATGTGGATTGTACCCCTCGTCCTGATTACCCTCTTTATATTTGTTCTATTACTGATAGTATGTCGGAAAAAGTAAGTTTGATTCATCATTTTATTGTATTATTTGCGTCTACAATAATCATTTCAATAAAATTTCTATCATTTGTAAAGAAAAAAGTTTTTTTTTTAAGGTTGAAAGTACTTTTTGAGAATGTAGAGAATTCGTTTGAATATTCTTTTGAAAGACATTTAGTAGAATAATATATTGAAAATTTTTTTTAATACTCTGAAGAATGAAATAAACCAATAGGAGCAAAGTTGCGCATAAGATGTTGAAATTTTAGAATAAAAATATTAAAAAGATATAAATTTAGAAACAAAACTTACTAAAAGTAAAAAAATTAGAAAAAAAGAAACTTGAAAATATTCCAAAGAAATAAATAAAGATAAAAAAACTTACAGCATATAAAAATAAGGAAATTCTTGGAATGTCACTTTGTATTTGGAGAAACTTTAACACACTCCATCTTCATTTGTATTTGTTTAGATCAGAACAGAAAAAATACGCATTTAATAATTTTTGATGATCTAACTGACGGACCTAATCAATTTTTTGGTATCTTTTTTAATTACTTAATTTTTTTTTAAAGCTGTTTCATTTTGGATACATTGTATGATTTTTATTTGGTATGATATTTATTTCACATTTTATTGTGTAAACTCAAATAAAATAATTTTGTAACAACCTATTTAATATCTATTTGTGAATAACTGAATTATCGACTCATTTCGACTATTATTAAATTATAAAATTTTGAAAAAACATTTTTTTAAATTGTTGTATAAAAACGGTTGTTACGTACGATAGCATATAGCTATGCGTCTGTGCGTCCCTCCTAGTTTGATACCTAAGAATTTTTTCATACTCTTTTAGAGTCTTATTCAAGTGTCTTAAAAATTGTATTTTGCCATTCTAAATAGGTATCTTCAACCTTTTTTCAATATCCAAGTCATATTTAACATATCTACTAATAGTTTACCTTACGTAAGATTTCTAGGTCGCATCGGACGAAATAAGCCAAAATCTGATCTACCAGAAAATGTGCCCTTGTCAAACGATTACTGTAACAAAGGTAAAACGAATGATCTGGAAAATGGAATTAAAGAAACAAAAAATCTACAGAACAACAAATTAATAATTCCTGATAAAAAAAGCACTTACTCAATGCCCGTGAGGGTTGAAGATTTCGAAAAGTACTTCGAAAGTGCATATAAATCTGGTTCTTTGGAAACGGAATACATGGTGAATGTTTAATACTTATTTTTATAACTGAAAACCGTACCATCATTTTTATTGTAATTATATTTTTAGTCACTTATAAGAGGGCCAATCAAGCCGTGCGCTTATGGATCTGAACCAGAAATCAAACCAAAAAATAGATACGCTAATCTTTTCCCATGTAAATATAGAATATATATGTAATTACCAGTGCATTTTCAACACTTTCATCTTGTAATGAAATAATTTTTTTATTTCAGACGATGAAACTAGAGTTGTACTAGAAAAAGTAATCAATGAGCCCCACTCGGATTACATTAACGCTAATTTTATAAAGGTACTTTATTTCTATACATTATTAAATACATACACTGTCAATTGTACTAATATTGTGTAATTGCAAAAGGGTTACGAAGAAAAAGAGAAAGCCTACATAGCCACACAGGGCCCTAAACCTAGAACTGTCCTCGACTTTTGGCGTATGGTTCTTCAGGAAAGAGTCGAAATTATCTGCATGATGTCCAATCTCATAGAAAACGAAAAAGTATGCGATGAAATAAAATTATCCGATATTGTAAAATTACATTGTATTACCACAAAATACTAATAAACACTATTAATTAGATAAAATGCGAACAGTATTGGCCTGCAAAGGTTGGAACGACAGTATTGTATGGAAAAATATCTGTATCATTTATAAGCGAAGAAATAAATTCCGATTACACGTATAGGAAGTTCCAGATATTCTGCGAAAACAAAAAAGCTCAAATGGTAATCAAACAATCGGTATTGACAGTTAAAAAAAAAGGCAATCATTAAAAATCGCTTTCGTTCAACAGGTACGGCACTTGCATTACACAGCGTGGCCGGATCACGGAGTGCCATCGAATTCACGCTCAATCGTCTCGTTTTTAAAAGAACTGCACAGACACGCCCCAGTCCCTAGAGATCCGGAAGCTCCGCCAATTGTAGTTCACTGTAGTGCTGGAGTTGGACGAACCGGAACCCTCATCGTCCTTGACATGGCCATTTGTCGAGCCTTTTCTGAAAACGTAATCATCTTGTGACATAATAGACTAAAGAGACAATTAAAGATTATAACATTGGACATCCATTACAGGTTATCGACGTTCATACAAATGTCCTTTCTGCCAGGAACGATAGATTAAATATGGTAGACAACGTAGAACAGTATTTACTCATACATTTAGTACTCGTTGAATATTTCAATGTACAAGATACGTGTTTGATTTGTGACGATGACTTACCAGCGAGTATTGCCGAGGCGAGAAAAAACTCGATAGCTTATTACGAGAGGTTACTCATTGTTTTATAATCATTTGGAATAAGTAAAAGTATTTCTAATGCCTTCAATTTGATTTTTAGGATTTTAAAAACTGATTGGTGGAATGGAATTTTAGGATCATCACAACCACCGGAGAAACCACTGTCTACCAAAAATATAGGGAAACATAGGTTTCCTGAAACTGCAGGTATTTAATATTGTAAATGTAGAAACAGTTGAGAATAAGTATTTTCAAACTATAGATGTTTACCATTTGTGCTCTAGTCAGCATTAATAGGTTATACTTAAAAAGATCAAATAATGCCGATGAGGATAGCGATTATGTTGCCGCCTCATCAGTAACAGGAGTATTCAAGGATTGTCGATACATCACCACACAACTTCCGTTACCCTCTACGTCTGCGGATTTCTGGAGGATGTTATCAGAAGAAAATGTAGAATATGTATTAGTTTTACAGTTACCTGATTTGCAAGATTCGGTAAGTACAGTTAACAATAGTGCAAAAATTTTATTTTGTTAAAATTCAGTGGCTATCTTATCACTTGCTTTTCTAGACTTACTGCGAGTTAGTGCCAGAAAGTAAAGAATTTGGAAATGCCAAGTACATAAAAATCATCGAACAAGAAGGCTCAAAAATCGACTTACAGTATTATTTAAAAGAAGAAGTCGTTATCATTGATAGTTCTGAGGTAAGAAAAACTAGAAACTTTGTAATTTGGTTATCATTTTTCATTGAATTAGGAAAATGTTGATTTAAAATATGATGGAATATTTCTGGTGGTGGGTAACCAATGATTTCTAATGCATTGTATATTTACGTGGTTTCTTGATTCGACAATAGCAGCCAGAAAAAAATCAAAGTGTCAAATTAATCAGTTACAAAAACTGGCCAAATTTATCGTTTCCTTCAGCACAGGACTTGGTTAAACTTTGGAAGGTTATAGAGGATCTGCCGAAAAATAATAAGAGTCCCATCGTGGTTGTGTGCCGGTAAATGTGGAGACCCCATTGTTAGACAGTAATTTTAAAATCTTATTCAACATGTCCTTCTTTGAATGAAATAATAATTTTAGGGACGGAATGACTGCATGTGGTCTTTGGTTAACCGCGGTCTACTTGCTAAAAAGGATGCAAATTGATAAAGAGTGTGACGTACCCCTGGCTGTACGAGCTATTGGAAAGTGTCGAAGGGATTATGTAAAAACACCTGTAAGATTTTACTTTCAAACTATTGTTCCCAAAAATTATTTACTAACACATTCTTTTAAATCTTGTTTATAAACACATATAGGAACATCTCGAGTATCTTTACGACGTGGCTTTAGCATGGCATGAAGAAAATAAAAAATCCACGAAATAGTATATTATGACACAATGATATTTTCTTCATTGAAATAAAGCCCATTTTCAGGGGTTTGAGTCACTTCTCCATAACAAAAATGGAACACTGTTCTTTTTTCACTTAGATGTATGACGAATAGCATGACAAAAATTTGGTGCTTCTAACCTATTCCTTTGAAAACAAAAATAAACCTTCCCACTAATTTCATCAAAAACTTATTAACGTAAGATGGATAAGTATTAAGAAATCGAAACTTGTTTTTAGTGCTTCCATGTAAAGTGCCTTAAAAAAATTGACTGACAAGTAATGACGAGATAGTTTCTAATAATAAGGTTCATAGTATTAATGGACATATTTAATGTACAAATATATTTACTTTAAAGTCAATGATTAAAAGTAATTAAACTTTACCTGACCTAACATTTTGTATAAAAGCTGTATTGTATGTTAAATTATTATTTATTTTAAGATAAATCTTTTTTTACTTTAAATTTTATTGTCTTTCTTCACTTTTTCAAACCTCTATAAGTGGCATTGATGGATAACTGCCATTTCTCCAGTACTGATAATTATGAGAAGACACATTAGCCGTTATAATTCTGTAATTGATAATGTTCATGTCCATTGAATTTGTTCTAAACTTTTGCATTTTATTAATAATAAACCAAATTCGTCCCTTGGTGTCGAAAGCAAAAGAGTTTGGCCACTGCATTATTTCATGATCCTCAACTAAAATATTTTGATTTTCGGTAAACGGCTTTTTTTTCGTATCCCACATTCCAACTGCATCTTTGGCTAAAAGACCAAAGTATAGAACTCCATAGGCAGACATTCCTATTCCATCACTTTGAGATCCTTTTTTCCCCAACGATTGAACATAGCCTAATACATCAAGAAATGAAATAACAGAATAAAATGTATGTACAAAAATACTATTAACATATCCAATATTTGAATTCAATTTTTAAAAATTACCAGAGTATGTTTCGTTTGTAAGGTTTGGATTTTTCAATACTGATGTAGGAATCGTAAAAATTTCATATGATGACAACGCTGTGTAATAGACCGATCGATTCTCTGTCACAGACACTGGATCCAATGCTATTCCATTCACTGGTGATTTAACAACCAATTTTGTCCCATTGACGATTAATTCCGATGCTTCGTCATTTCCCCTCATCGACTCATCCCTGACTTTCCAGGATGTCATGTTTTCCAAAGAGAACACAATAATACCCGGATCCTGGTCGTCAGTATCAGTAATGTAAGCCATGCCACTATCCTCATGATCTAAAACGATATCGTTCAAAAGAACAGAGTCACAATGAGCCACTTCTTCCGGAAAAACGTAACTGAAAATAACTTGCCCCTCTTTTTCCAGATCCAACACGACCAACCTAGGTGGACAGTTGATTCTTGGTTCTGATGCCAGCAACTCAGTGCGCCCGTTATCAATGATCCACATTCTACCAATGGGATCGATTTCCACGCCAAGCACAAACTGAAAGGACAAGCAATCGTCCAGCTTTTGCATTTCCCAATCGGGATAAGGCTCGAGAAGTGGTGAGGGTCCCGAAGCCACCGGAATCGATGCTAATGTCACTGGGATACCCTTTTTCCAGCGGGGTATTGTCAAATAGATGCGATCCTTCCATACCTTGATTCCGGAGATCGAATTGTTTTCCACTATATAAGACTGATTACGAATGGTGTCTTGATCTGGCCACGTGAAATTAATGTAGTTCCACTGAAACTCAACTTTGGGAGCGTATGATGCTTCTGACGTAGTGAACCAAACTAAAAAACTCAATGCTGCTAGCGATTTCATTATGCTATACTGATATGTCTTTTTTACATTCAGATACAATAACGAATAATTGCGTAAAGTAAGCTTTACACTCTACAGTGCCACGTATATGTGTTGCACAAGTACGTATCGAAGTTGCTGGCAGCGCAAAAACAAAAACAGAAGAGGATTTATCTCGCGATAACTGAATTTGAAATATAACTCGACCGATTAAGTTCGAGTGTGCATCTCTGGACGGGGTGCACTAGCACATAAACAACCATTGCATCTTGTACTGATTCGAAAAATATATTTGTGTGGAAACGTCTTTTATCTTCGTACTATGGAAATGCGCAAGCTATCTATCAAGTTCTTGAAGTAGCTTCTGTTTTTTTCCGAAAAAGTGGCACACAGCAAATTAAACAAGCACTTACAGTTACGTTAAGTAAAAAAAAATGAGATACTGACAGGGAAAAACCACAGCTGGTGATTATCACCGACAAGAAGAATTATTTTAAAGTCGATAGATAATTTTTGTCTTTTAAATTCAACACGTACATAAGGGGTCTAGTATAAGATAAACATTAGCGAAGTAAAAAATTCTAATGTAGGATATTACTAATGATTTAAAAGCTAAGTTATCCTAGGATAAGCTTACCCAACTACAATGGTCCTATATATTTTGTCTAATAATCAACATGAAGTTTTAACAGAGGTACATTAAGGTTTTTTTTAAACCCATAAAATCCACTTAAACACTTTTTTAGTCCAAATTTCACATACAAAAAATTTTCAGAGAATACTTCGTAGAATTAGCGTCATTTCGCCGTAAAGAATTAGATCTATTTCCAACCGATGTGAAATAATAATCATAGCAGACAAATTTAAGTCCTCTATTAATCAAATTAATTTTTTATGTGTAGAAATCCTACAAAAATCGTAAAATATAACATACTACAGATGCATTTATTTACCCACACAACTATACAGTATTTGTATGTATAAAGTATCTTGAAAAATCTCCAAATAATTTTTATGTGGATATTTCTGAGTTTGAGTATCTAAATCAGTCTTGTTGCATGTTCTTAGAAGTTTGACTAATCATAGAAAAGTTCTAAGAATACGTACTAAAAAAAAAAAAAAAAAAACGAAATATGTTTTCTTGTGAATCCCATACAACATTCCAAATTAAGGTGGTTCGAGAAACTTTTACTAGAATCATAAATGTCTATAAAATTTTCACTAGGGTCAACTACTTTTTTTTTAAAGGAAATCGCTACTGAAAACTCACCAATTTAACACGCAGTCTTAAAGGATTTATTACTAAAACGACTATAACTCAAAAAGTAAATGACAAACCTTTGTAAATAAAAATTCTAGTTGTACCTTTTTTTATAACTAATCTTTTAGAACTGTGAAAATTATATGTCAAACACTTCGATTTTAAGAAAACTAGGGGATCCGCCCCTGTACGCTTCGCGTGCCAACCCTCTCACACTTAATAACAAATATTAAATTTCTCGATTTTATTAGAACAATTGAATAATTTTCTACTATGAAATATATAGTTTTTATTTTCACTCAATGTGAAAATTTAAACTACTAATTATTTACTCTCATTTTCAAATTCACGCACCCAAGACAGGTCTCGATTAATCACAGAACAAATAAATAAAACAATAACTTCTCATTCTTTTTATTTTTTTCTATCCTGACAATGAACAAAGAATATTTTTCATTATCCATTAGAACATTAAAGTACCCATCGCTTGGTACGGTACCAAACGCTTAAGGCGCCATTAATTCACTGGGCTGTTGTAGTTATTAAACATCAAAGAGTTGTTGTGAGTGTTTAAAACAAGAATACAACACTCTTGTGCTATTTAAACATAACCATGTAGAGATTTTTAAATTTTTTGTTAGTAAAAGTCATAAATATCCTATTCTCAAGTATTATTAAAAGATTAAATAATTTATAGATTAAAGATTCAGACAAGAAAAAAAAAACCATTTTACATTCTGTAAAAAAAAGAGTCCCACTTGCCTGAGAATCAGAGCAACAAATCGTTTCTTAAGCTCCTGCAAATAAGACAGAAAGAAAGCTGCGCCCCATCGCACGTATAAAGTCCACTATCGCATCATCACATGAGCGACACCTGGAACCCCATCCATGAGCTAATGAGCCCTTCTAAAAGCTCAGCTGAATTAGTTCAAACCCAACGACGACGGTGCACTCCTCCCCTATTTACGTTCCCATTCGATATCTCTTATCTTGTCTTTCGACACATCATGACCACCGCTCTTTATTTCATTCAAAAAATAACCGTCTCGTGTTCGATCGTGTGTGTACACTTGCAAAAAAAAATTTAGCACTCCACACGCACTCTCGATGCCAGAAAACGTTCCTGCACCTATCGTGCTCTTCTCTACAATCGAACACACTGCATACACGTGCTGTTTTATTTTCTCTATCTTTAGTCATCACATACATATACACACGTGTGCACTGCCTCTAAACGGATGCTAATCGAGCGCGAGTTAACGCGCACGCGACGTGTGTCTTTTCTTCCTCCTTCCATGCAATGCAACTCTTTTTCCGAGTGATCTTTCCTCGCACGGGTGTGTAGGTACATGTGGGTCCGAGGGACGGGAATGAGGCTGGGACTCTTGGGTTAATCAGGATCGAGATATGCGGTCGCCCTGCATGTACACCAATAGATTACGTGTAGGGGGATGCATCTCGGTGTGTGTGTGTGTGTGTGTGTGTGTGTGTGTGTGTTAAAGAGATGCTAGCATACGATTGATTCACGTAAATGAGCGTAAGAGTGCTGATGTGGATCTTTCAGCTACTAACCCCTCACATTTTTGTCTATCTCTTTATTTATTTATTTTTTATTTTTATTTTTTAGAAGCAATACGATGCTAGATTCGTTTGGTTTTGTTTTTGGATGTTTTCTTCAAGTATGAGATCGTTAAGCTTTAAGTATATTTATGGTTGTCACATAAATGGTTGTTAGAGCGATTGAAAAGAGTGAGATCGGTATGATTTTACATAACTATTTTTCATGGAAGTATTGTTTGCTTTGCTAAGCAGAACGCGTAAAATGATTAATAGTATGACGTGTATTTTGGGTTTATTATTTTTTATGTACGCATTTCTGAAAACGTTTGCTTAATATTATACTAACGAAAAAACTATATATTAAAAAAGAAAGAAATTTATTACACGTCAGACTATATTCGAAATACGAATTCGTTAAGTAATTTAGAAAAAATATTAATTTAAAAACTTTTATAAGTCGAGGAATAATAGAGAAATCCTAAAAAAAAGTTTGTAAAAAATAAAAAATTATGTATTTTGATGTAGGTAAGTATTAACGTAATTTTAAATATTATAATCAGAAAACTATTTTTTTGTGAAATCAGAATTTTTTATTACAGTCTATATATAAGTTTTACTTTAATGATACAATATAATATATTCTATTAGAAATAATTTTTGCTATATTTATATTGTTAGGTTGAAACTCAACAAAGATTTTTTAAAATTTTATTTCATTTATTTAGCTAATTTAAACAAAAATTAGGTTTTTATGCATTTTTTAACATCAGCTAAAATAGTAAATCCTAAATTTTGCACAACTAATCAACAAAGAATAAATTAGCAAACACTTAGATATGCAAGAATATGTAAAAACAAAAGAAAAAGTCTTTGTGCTCGATATATTTGTATATGATCAACAATAAGTGTATTTGAATGCCTTTAATTTAATCAAACCTCATACAATAAAATGTACGATTGACATTTCGAAAAATTAATTTAATTAAAAAAGGGGATTTAATTAAATAAACATGTGAATTAGTACACAAATAAAAAAAAATTTACCATTTCAAATTCACAGCTTCCAATAAAAGTGTTAATAAGCTACGTGCCTATTGGGGATGGGTTTTCGACCTTATTCGAACTAGTTTTATTTATTTTTCCAGAGAACCTGGACATCCAAATCAATTCTAGTTTATATAAATTAAATTTATCTCATTAAGATAATTAAAATTTTTGTAAATCGCGTAAACAGAAAAAAGCAGGGCCATATATGTAGAACATCTCAAAAAATTTTATAAAATTGTATAAAACGCACTGATAGAAATATTCCTAAAATCGATGCCACGTGTAAGCATTTGACCTTCTTTACCAAACATTCGACGGAATAAATAATGTCTCAGTCAAAAATTTCGTTATTAAAAAAACTCAGTCTCAATAATACAAACAAAAAAGGTTATTATTATTATTATTATTCTAGTAGCGTTACGAAACAAACTTTCCTCGCGCCTTGTGTGTACTCTCAGTTGTTGAATTAAAAAAAAAGCAGCTCCCCAGGCAGTAACGACGATGTTATCAACAAATTACCCAAAGTATACATACATATATGTAACGCGTACGTTTTGTTGCCCGTCCGCAAACAATGTCTCTATTATAAATGCCTTTGAGGCTTGATACGTATACGAATCAGCTGAATCATCGACGAAAGGAAACTCCGGTCCGCATGTCCTCGAACCAAAAAATCTTACTTTACAGGAAGAAACAACGGATACAAAAAAAAAACAACGAACGCAAACAAAACCCGATAACATCCAACGTAAGCGTATCAGAGTACAAACAGTGGGCGCATTGACAAGCGCTTTCGATAATCTCGTTACTCCCCGACGATCGAGTAAAAATCGATTCAACGAAAACACGCGTACATATTCTTGGGCACATCATCCAATTCCGCACTTTCTAATCCCCATTGATTGATTAGCGTCACCCACAGCTTCCGCAAACAGGCGGGACGCGATATAAGTGAATCTTGCGCGTTTCACCACAAATACAGCGTTGCGAACAATAGCTGCATTATCACAAGCTCCTCTACTTGTTGGACCTGCATCCTGAAACAATATACCGATACTCATCGCAATTTGAGGTTTTTCACAGCGAACACAAGGAGAGCGCGCCAGAGTATATATGGTGTAATTGTGGCTTCTTTTCAGCTCTTCCTCCGTCGTCCTTGGGGCGAAAATTTTACCTTATCTCCGTCAATCTCCGAGTTTGAATAGCAAGGGGTAGGC